GCTGTGAGATAGTCCCGCGAACGGATGCTCTCCGCTAAGCGGAGCCCTGATTAGGGATAAGGATACGAAGGCTCAGGCTAGAAACCCCTCTCCCAGCTACGTTAGACCTGGCAGTCGTTCCATGCTTCTGCACAGGTGGTGAAATGGCAACTGCTCCTCATGGCCTACGCGCGGTCAGAGGTGACCCCGGATCGGCTCCTACCTGGGCTTATCAATCCCTCCTGGCTGCTTAACCGATACCAAACTCTTTTGGCACCGACTTGTAAATCGGCTTTCCCTCGTAATTCATTGTATAAGCCAAATCGCTTTACAAACGCCCACCGAAGTAAGGTACATAGGGTTTATGGGGCATATACAAAAAAGAAAGTTGAAAGTCAAAGCCAGGGAAAGCAATGCTAAGAGCTTTATTCTTTTTGGTTCCAATTCGGGGAGCTGGATGGGCGTATACTTCCTCTACCATTCCGGAAACTTTTTTTTTGGCTCACGTAGCTGTTACGAGACCTATCAGAAGGGGCTACACACGGGTCTAATTTAAATTCCGAACTGCTTGTCGCAAACGAGAACCGACCCGCCTGGGTGATTCGCGTTGTAAGCGGTACCACTTACGAGTACAGTACTTTGCGCGTGGAATCGGATATCAATAGTGCCTGGAGATCTCACAGTTCCAAGATCACCGCATTGCGACAAATCGTAAATCTTTGTTCATGTTTTCGCCGTCATTGTCTCGCCGTTAGCGAAAATAAGAGTTCAGTTCGAAGGTTTTCTTGTTCAGAGTCGTGATGATTTACTGGCCACACTGAAGAAAATTCGCCACATGTCCGGGACAACGAAAACCGGAAAAGCAATGCTGAAAGCATTGGATATGTTTAAGAAAATAAAACAACGTGACGATGAGGATATTTCGCAGGTGAGCAGCTTAGCTATACCACTCAGTAATGATTCCCAAAGGATTCAATCAGTTTTGCGACCTATTTTCTCGAAGAAGTACTCTGAACGAACAATATTGTTTTAACTGGGTCTTCGAAGGATTTTTCATTTGCCCTTGAAGCATCATTCAAAAAAAATGAAGAGGTCAGTGAATATAAGGTAATAAGAATGATGGTAATTGTTTTGTTATGATAACTGCTGTTTAACGCCGCAGTTCGCGTTCCGAATGTTATCACAAGAATGCTGAGTTATGGGCAAAAGTCGTACCCCAGGCGGGAGTCGAACCCGCACCTCACGCTTTCCGGGCGAGTGCGCTATCCGTTACGCCACCAGGACCACTTTTACCCTCTCAGCTCAATAATGGTAATAGTAATGGTGGCACCTAAGTATCATATGCATGAGAACGTCTAACATTTCATAAAGCTTCTCTGAGATGTCCGTACACGAGCAATGCTGGCCTTCACGATTTCAACATTGGCGCGTAGGGTTCTTTTTTCGTGAAACATTGTGCCATTTTAAAAGAAACTGCATTCCGTCTGTGTCTAGGACCAGGGACATGATTCGCAAATTGTCCAAGAACAATGCTCGCATTAAAGGCGGGCAAGCCGGGCTCGAAGCGAAGCATACAGGCACAACGCGTCCTCTCATCTTCAGGAACACGCAGGTGCATATGAGAAACATCTATATATGAAAATCCGCATATTTTACCATATTTTGAAGGTACAGTCTATGTTATTCGAATCGGGCGGGATTCGTGGATGCATTGTAATTTCCCTGCGCCCTTTCCTTAAGCGGTAAAGTAAAGAGTGGCGGTACGTAGCATGAGAAAAGCGCACTCCATTTCTATACGAACCAACGCAAGGCCTGCCTTCAAACTCATAGATGGAGTAGGTACGTTCTGAGGAGATGAGGCAGTATAGCCAAGTGTGAATGTATACCTAAAACGGCACTGGGAGCTAATCAAAGACTTCTGTTTTCCTACCCAGCATGGTACTTACTAATCGATGATCGCTGTAAATTGGGAATAAGAAGGACTGGTGGTACGAACGGAGATTCCGTCAAATCAGAGGCCTGTCGTATATTGCTATGCTGGAGGGAAGGGGTTGTGTCTGCCCGAGGAAACTTTCTGATAGTTAGTTTCACTTGTTTCACGCGCGCTGTTGGCAACGTTAGGAGACTTCCACTAAAAGGTGAGGGGTCAGGGGCGTGTCTGTATTTCACATTCACATGTGGTAGTGCGAGCGATGGACCTATAAGGGCATACTCCGCGAAGACCGTGTGGGCGGAGACTGAGAACAATTGCGATTTTGTGCGGCCAGTATGCCCCTTGTTCCGAGGTCTAGAAGAGGAGGCAGAGTAAGGTGGCCAATAAGGTGGCTTTTGTCTCCCGCCCATGCGATCAGAGCGGAACATCTCCATAAAGAAAAGAGAAGAAGGATTGAGCAACGATAGGGACAGCCTACTGCGACCGCTCACATAAGAAACCCGCATTTTGGCTAAAAAAATCACTACAATATTAAGGCTTATCCTCTTGAATAAACGCTTTGGTTCTAATATCAAAGTGGAGTGTAAAATTCCTCAAAGTGACTGATCCAGGATTTTTTTCACTCAGGTGGCCGTGGTGGTAACCGACGGGCACTCACAGGACAATCCAGCACCAGCAGCAGATGCTTTACGATCAGCTGGTGAGTTTTTGCATCTCCTTGCTTGCAATAGCTTTTCTAAAATGTCTTTATACTAGAATATGGCTGTTAGCACTTAAACCCTAAAGTTTAAAAGCACATACGGGCATGTCCACAAAGGAAGGGAAATGAGCTGAGACTCACAGTCCTCAGCGACGCCTTTCTATCTACCGTATAGCAAGGAAAGGCGCACCAGTGATAGTTGCACAATAGCTGTGAATCTTCACCCATTTCTCCACCCATCCGACTACCGTGGTATGGGCTTTCTATTAGCCGCAACCCCAAATAGGAGCTCAAAAACGAGATGGATAAGGTAACGTTCATATTTCGCAACTTGAGCGATTCAGTTGCGCGATTTGACAAGTGGGAGACTGCGCTCCATTGCTAATAGTTGGACCATTGCAACTGCATCCTTCGACCCTCGCGGCGGTCCACAAATTATTAAGAGAGCACGTTGGGACGCAATCGCGCGATTGAAGAGCTCGAATTCCCGAGTATGAACGCAGTGAAAGTCATCTGTATTGCAGGAGTGACCATTATAACACTGGGCATCGGAGATCATATCAATCGTGATGAAATCGTTCGAATCAGTGGCAAAGATGAACTGGCATTCCAAGTAGGTAACTGAATTAATTTGTATGATGAGATGCTATTTGAGACATCCATAAAACGAAAAACAGCCCTGTTCGGCTTGGAGGGGCATTTTGCACTTCCTCTAGTTCTTTTTGCTAGTACATTTCAACAAGTAGATTACCACCTGTTAAGAAGCAGCAAAGTGGTAAAAGTGAGAAACTCTAGTCTTAGGATTTTACATGTCGTTACAAGGTGGCTTGTGCAAGCCTCACTGAGTACCATTTATTGCCCCACCAAGCCGAACTGTGCTTGAAACCATTTGAAGAGACAATAGCACCCTTTAAATGTCCCACTTTTACAGAATCTTCACAAAAACGTGTCGCTCGAGCATTTCGTAGCCGGCTTCAAAAATCTATCCGAAGGAGAGCATTGTGAATACGCTAGAGGTAAGACGTTCTTCAGCTTCATTATCACCCACAAGTTGCTTTCACCTTATCTCGCCTACCTCGTTAATGTGCCCGAAAAGTGAGCTATTGATTTTACGGGCGTAATACTGTTCCATTGGGAGTCGATGGTAACGTGCCTGCAAGTACGATACACAACAAATAGTTGGGGCGTGGCTTAGACACTGAGGCCGGAGCACACCGGACACTCCATCAAGCTTTGGCACGCTGCCCACGCCATTTTGCGCTCCGAAAATTGGCGCAACCTGGCGTAAGGCTTGTGTGAACAGCGATCCACCCATAGGGCGGATAGGCGGCTTCACGTCCGTCGATAGCAGCCTCCAGAACTTTAATTGTAATTATTTCCTTGGGAAGTCGGCGCCTTCGGACAACAACAAAAATTAGAGATAGAGGTTCCAATGAAGTCCTTATTGTGAGGAGTTACCACAAGATTAGCACCCATCATGTGCGAGGAATTTTGTACAATTTGACCCTGTCTTCCAAAGTTTCTACGGCTTGTAGACGCACCGCCCCCCCCCTCTCCCTCCCTCCCCAATTCCCAATATCATCCAACTCCTAATATCTCCTCTCCCAAATTTCATAACACCTTCCAACCTGGAATTCTCAAGTTTTTTTTTTCCCGGAAAACTTGGGCGAGTCGAGGGGGGGGGGGTACTATAGCTGGCACATGGAATGATGGATACTCGCTTGACCCCCCCCTGCGTTCTGGGCCCATCCCAGTATCGGCTCAGTGTCCATTTCTCAACGATCGTCTGTGTTCCTGCCAGGCACACTGAACTAGACCGAGCGAAGGTGCGGAACTAAATAGTCGCGTCAGCCGCTCGCGTGAAACGATCGGGCCACAAATTCACAAGATCAGGCCAAAGAAGGGCAGTCACTGCCGCCTGAATAGGCATACTTTCATATCGCGCCTGTAACGTTGCCTATAAGTATTGCTTCTTCCAATACTCTGGGGACTTGACGATAATTTCTTATAAATTGCCTGCCTAAGACGGTCGGGGATGGAGCTTGAAATTCACTCTGGGTCCTAGCTTTCGTGCAACGTATCGGCACATCTCGATCGACCCGAAAAAATTGAACGGGTAAGCCTACATCGGTTGTCTACGATTCTCGGACCGAGACCAATCTTTTCATTGATTTCTAGAGAGTCGATCCTGTCCTGCTCGACGGTTTCCATCACCTAAGAACCCGGACATGCCTCAGTCCGATGGAGCGATATTTTGCCCACGGACGGTAACGACGGATGCCGGACTTCGACGTCGCCGCACACCTATACGCCCCACATGGAAAATGTGGCCTGAATTAAAAAACGTCCTACGACGATACTGTAGTCTGCCGTTGGGCGCGTCCTGTACGAGGACCTTTTGTACAACAACCTGCGGATTATAGTCTTGTTCGCTGGCGGGCATACCTGAGACGTTCGTCAGGGGGAGGCGGCGGTAGATTTTCGATGGTCGGCCTCCCCTCCTCTCCGCAACCAACTGTCTGCACAGAAATTACAACTCGATCTGGTGGAAACTACGCGGAGCCAATAAACGCCCAAACCCTAGCCCTGATCAGGGCCTTCAGCACACGCCGCCGACGCACAACCAAGACGCCGTGCAAACTACACTAAGAATCTGGATTACTCGCACTCAACACCGATCGGCTCCGTGTCTCACCCAGGAGCTCCTCCCTTCTTTAAGGTTCAAGCAGAAGCCCTCTTGCGAAATTTCTGTTTTGCACAAGGAATACTTCAAAGGCACGGTCCGAGATAGGGAGCGTTGGTAGTGGTGTTGAATATGGAAGAGGTGTCAAGGGACTCGTCTTTGAAGAGAACATGCAACGGGGGCTCTCAAGAACGCCTTTAATGGGCCCCTCCAGTCCCCAGCAATTGGCCGAGTGCGAGTGAAGAACACCAGGTTGAGACGAATCCAGTCAGCCGATATCTTACAATGAACTACGACCCTCCAATAGACAATGAAGCCTTCATTTCATCTAGTCGTCCAGAAGCATCGTTTTTCGCTGGAAAGCAGACTTCGGAGGTCAAGAGGCGGAGGTGACTGAAAAAGGGAGGTGTCACTGGAGCAACATTGCGCCCTAGCCTTCTTACCTTACAGCTTTCTGCCGCAAAACTGGAACCAAGGTTGTCCAGTGCAGACCACACCACGATTCCCACGCCAATTCCAATTCTCCACATTGTGATCGGTCATCGCAAACAGTTCCTTCGAAACCCTCCCCCTACCCCACCTCCTCCCCCTTCCAACGTTACAGAACGTCTTTTTTGTGATAATCTGAAACACTTTATCACATTCTGTTCCTTTTTTCCTTCACTTCCTCAGCTGTTCCACTAGCTTTGCTAAAACTGAGATACACGACAAAAGCCGTAGTTCAGGCGAAATCCCGAGGTTTTGTGGTCTCGTCGCGAGCGGTACTCCAATTTGATCGACGATTCGCAACCGCCAACGATCACTCTTTCGAAATTCGATGCTTCTATCCGGACAAGACAAAGACGGCGAAAAGCCCACAGAGAGTCCAAGGAGTCACCACGCTGGTGAATGGGGCCGATTTGACCGGGTAAGTGGTACACCACAAGGGACTGAGTAGAATTATTACTTGCCACGTTTTTTTACATCGTATATTCAGAAGTGAGGGAACTTCTGCAGAGTTACAACATGCGATGAGATGCCGCTACATTGTCAGCCCTCTACCAGAACAATGCTCTTCAAGCGCTATTACCGTCGGAACACCACTGGTGCATATGTGGACGTGTGATCGAGGTAGCTTAAAAGCCCAGTCCACGCTGATATTGTGGGCCGGGTAGCCAATGATTGTTCCTTTCTCATTTGTGCACCACTCCTACTAAGACTGTGGAGACGAAGGGCGTTAGTGAGGACGGCACTATGACTGACTCTTTCCGCCCACATGGCCAGTGTGGACTGTATCTCTGACGAGGGTTGTGTTCTTCCAAATACCAAACGAGAATGAATCAAGCTGTATCCGACACGACACAACCCTCTTCAAAGATATAAAACGATTGTATAACAAATTGATGGGCCGGGTAGGTGATTGTCACACTGTCAAGATCGCACCACGCATTCGCGGCGTTCAGTTCCTGCTTTATCGTTTCTGATCCTATCTCTCATCGTTATAGAAATGCATTGTCGTCATGAATGGGGAAGTTTAACTGAATAGTTCGATAAACGATTGTCAGCTTAGGGGTTTGGTAGTCACGGGGTACTCCCTAGTAATGGAGCAAAAACTTCGACACCCTCCATCGCTGCTTCAAATACGACCCTCTTCAACCTCACGGTTCAACTTCGCTTACTTCATTATATCCCCTCACGCCATTTCCAGATTTCCGGAATGAGACTCGACAACTAAGAAGGGAACGCAGAAGGCGTATTTACTTACAACAAGACGGTACAAATTTCCAGTAAAAGGAATCGCGAACAGTGATTCATGTTGATGTTTAAGTATTGATGCATGACCCCTCGATCAATGGAGATCTTCACGGAGAAGTCATGTGCTTAGGCACATTCCCCGAGCGAGCCCTTTGATACGATCACTCGGTTGGAATTATTTCTTTTATTTTGTGAACCTCTGCCATAAATAGCACAACCAGTGGCGGTAACTAATAGAGAGTAGACAGTAAAGAGTGGTGAAAGTGGCTGATCGCGAGGTTGAAGGCGGGGAAGCCGTAACTTACAGATTTGCGGGGATAAACGGAGCTCAAACAATGAACGACCAAGAGTGCCTAGATGAACGTGACCTAATACTGAAGAAATGTTCAGAATAAGAACAGCCCGAGCTATCCCTAATAGGGACTCCATGCCAATATCGTTAGGTTACGCTGCAGTGGAATTGATAGAGAAGTGCGCTGCTTTTACGAACTTCTCACTCGTGTTATTGCATAACGGATACAACTCTGTTTATCTTATGACCTCCCACTCCCTACATTCGAAAGGGGAGCAGATGATAGCATAGTTGGCCTACTAGCTAGCAGCCAGCAGCAAAAAGTAGGGGGTCTTGCATGAGTCATAATCGTAAGGCGGCTGCGCCCTTGGACCTTAAAGCTGATTCAGCTCTCCAGCGGAAGGTTTTGCCGAATTTCACGTTTTGTAAGGGCTCAGGCAGATTTCAGAATCGTCTCGGATCATCAGTCATAGCCTTGTTTTATCGCGGAAAGTGCCTTTAACGGTTATCCTGCTGGTCCTTCCCCAAAAGCGAGTTTACGTCACGACAGCGCAGGTAGCACAGTACTGTTCGCTGTGGACGCTTGGACTTGTGAGGTGGACTGGGTTTGGCGCTGCGCCAACCCGTTTCCACCAACTTCGCTGAGCTCACTTCAACCACTGATGAAGAACGTGCTGGCGCCGCGCCAAACCCAGTGCCCTGGTATGCTCCATCATCGGCAGCAACTAAGACTGTAACTGGTCGAGGCGAATGGAATAGCAGGTGTTGCAAGCATTGCAAGTTGCGTCGCATGCGCGGCATTCGCTCCAAGATTGAATCGATTTGACGAGAAGTACGCCGAGTCAACTAGCTAAGTAACGCTGCGAGCGTCGAGCTAAGTTTTGCTTCTCGTCGAAACTCGGACCTCTAAGCCCACAACCTTCACGTTGGGAATTTGCCGTCCCAAGCAAGCACCGAAGCGGTGGTAGGGAACACTTGGCAAAAAAGGTGGACTAAGTGACAAGAAGGTCCCGGTTGGCCTAGGTAAGTCGATCCACGGACTGTTCCTATGCTAATGACGCCTCCTATCATTGTGACAGATCTACTTCAGATTAATAGCACTAGATTCCGGTAAACTACTGTATTTTAGGTGCATTACTCAAAAATCGATCATCGCCGCCATCGATTACTCCTCAGACGGTAGTGTGACAGCCGTTGGTAGAGCGGTTCGCTTTGCTGACATTCCTATTCTGAAATTCTCCTGTAAACTTCGCTTATGCAATTCGTCCGACGGCCAGTGCAGTCCCAAGGAGGTTAGGTCCGATACCATGCATTACCAAATGCATAACACCGAATTTCAGGCTCCTCACTGTCGACTGAAACGCGAAACTCCGGAGGGGGCAAATTCTTCAAACGACGCTGAGCCGGAGTATGTAAGTATGTTTGGTCCTTCAACGCTATTTGGCTGCTCTCAGCTCCTGTTCGGACAAGTAACCCTTTCAGGACACTTATGACGACGGCAACGTTGAGGAACGGATTGCAGAGCCCGAGAAGGCCACGGTGTTTCCTGATGAGGGTAAGACGTTGCCACAGCTCATAGCGTTCCTCTTTACCATTAGAAACCATTTCAGAACCGACAACGACAGTCTCTCTGCCACAAATCTTGCGTGA